TCCTTTATTCCCGGGTCCCACCGACGCACCGACTAACACCACTTGACGTTCACGTACCGGCGTTCGGTTGTCCTCTCCTTATCGAGCCTCGTCGCCATTGTTAGCGCGTCAGGAAACACAACGCTTTGTAACTCGGGTTCTTTATAGGAGATGAGAAACGTGAATACATTGTTAGGGTCCAGGTTACAGACGTCCGACCCTAGTCGGCATGATGGCGTCGCGCGCCGACGACCGTTGCTCGTTTGCCGGAAGAAGGCTGGCGGCTCTCGCCAGGGTTGCCGCTTCCGGCCGCAACACCAGCAATCTTCAACTGGTGCGGAATGCGTTCTAAAGTGACGCCCTCCTTTAGGCTTAGCCGCACCAGTCTGGTCGTCGACTGGACGCCGGTGAATCCTTCCGCCTTCCATTTTTCACGCGTCACGTCCTGAACCTTCCCAAAGGGCTCTAGGGCCCTCCTGACGGTTTCGTCTGACGCGTGGAAGGGGAGCCAATGCAGTTTCATGCGGACGTCTGCGTTCTCCGGGTCCACGACGATGCAACGCTTGCCCTTTACCTCCAGTTCCTTGGCGGTGACCAGGCGCAGCTTGGCTTCCTCCGTCTTGAAGGTCACCATCCAGAGATGATTCATTTGGTAGGCGCCGAGCGCCTCGATGTGCCCAATCACACCAAGACGTTCCATCTCGGCCCTGAAATCGCCTATCTTGTATGGGCGAGCACTCACGTCACCGTGCAGCAGCACAGAGTTGCGCTTGGTTGCGCACAATGGCTCCTGATTGCAGAGGAGGCAGAACAATGCGATAATCCGAGTTAGCCGAAGAAACAGATGAACCGCGGCCGGCGAGGGCCGTTATCGACGCTCCTGAGGAGCTCATGATTCTCCAACCGTAGTGCTCGGAAGCCGGAAGTAGAATTACTTGGCCACCGATCGCCCCTAAAGCGAATGCATCTCCTTTGAAGAAGGCGGCAGACCAGTGCTCGAGTGATGAAGACGACGAGGACAAGGCGCCACCGAAGAAGAAGGGCAAGAAAAAGGGAGACGCGGCGGCCGACTTCACGGGTATGAATGGTGGCGGCGACGCCGACACTTCCGGAAAGGGTAAATAGGGCTCACCGTTTTGGAGGGTCAAGCCGGAGGTTGAGAGACAATTCGTTCGAGGCGAAGCCGGGAGCGCGGGGCCCGTAGTGCGAGAAGGCCAATCAGGTCCTTTGCACCATAGAGGGAAAGGACTTCCGGCGGCACACTCGGGAAGCGCCATCGACATGTCTGTCAACTCGATACGGTTCGACGAATGAGTGTCGCAATAAGAGGGGGTGGGGGCTAACATGATTCATTGTACAAAGGCAGTATTGAGTCATCGTTGCACTTTTTAATAGCCTCACTGTGAGTTCTCATTTTCTTCGTCCACACAGTAGGCTTGTGGGAGGAAGTCTTCGCAAGCGCTGTGCTTATGGTCTATTTTGGCATAACCTGTCAAACGTTAAAAGCTACGCTTCCGGCAAGCCAATTGGAGTGAGCAAGGCATGTGGTTGTGTGCCACAGAGGAGCACTCGGAGCACTCGTCGGGATGAGCTGTCGCATGCTTTGCTTTGTCGCTCCGATTGGCTCGTGAGGGCCGTAGCCTTTTACCTTTCTCGAGTTTTGCCGAGACAAAGCGTGTGGCATGAGTCGAGCCTGGTCTCTCTTTGAGACTGCAGGGAGTGGCATTGGTTGGGCCAACACTATAGTCGGTGACAGGTCAAATACGGAGTGGAAGCTCCTCCAAACCCTTTCCACTTCAGCGGAGCAAATGGTGAAGAGGAGGAGATCTCGTCTCCACCGTTCGCTCCACTGAAGTGGAAAGAGGTGGGAGGAGCTTCTACTTCGTTCTTGACCTGTCACCGACTATAGTTGCTTCTGCGTGGAGGTTCCGAGTGGGGTTCTTATTTGTTGTCGAAGGTCAGAAAACACCTGAAACCTCGCTGAACTGGTTTTTGGTGCGTTTCTTCTGAGGTGTCCTCAGGGGTCAATTCTAAAGAAAGAGTAGACACTGGCATCACTAACTCCATCCCAGTGTTATGGAATGAGCACCCCCAGTAATGTCATTGGTCTGAGTTTGAGCCACTAAATGAGCTATGCTAGAGTATCGCCACTCCCTCCCCCGATCTGTAAGTAGGCTCCGCCATCTTTGGTGCTTATAGCAGAGAAGACAGAACTGTCGATCGTCGAAATAGACCTATTGCTAAATTACCCAAGCATCAATTGGAGAATGCAGGGAATGGTGTTCCACGCGCCCCATGCGCACGCCTTCCCCGTATAAAAGATTCGAAGTAAATAACCAAAATAAAGCGTAGACAACCGCGCGTGCAATATACAATTTGTTTTAGGTTTTTGCTTTAGAAAATCCACTACTGCTGAGGCCAGCACGTGCGGCGCGTGGAACACCAATCCCTGCATTCTTCTTGATGCTTGGGTAATTTAGCAGAGGTCTATATAGTACCACCATAAATCCGTCACCGAGCTCGTTGCATTCTGGGAACCTGTCGGCCAGGAACGGAGTGCGTATGGATTTTGCTGTAACAATCCGGCCGTGTAGCAGTGCATTTATTATAGTTTCAGTACCAAAAAAGTTAAAATAAGTTTTGGCGTAATGTTGGTGCAAATTCCTCATACGTGTAGCAGAATGTAGCAAGGTAAGCGCTTTGGCAAAATGGTGCAGCAATCCCATCACCGCACCTCCATTCCATTCTGGGGAATAGAGTTTCCAAGAATTTTATTCCCTTCAATTCCTAGGAGTGAAGACACTGGGCCCATACCCACCACTAGAATGGCTGAACCGTTCCATTCCATTACCCTAAAGGCCCGCTGACATTCTTGCGACCTCTTAAAACTGGGTACCTTAAAACCTCTTACAACCAGAGGACACACTGGCGCCATCTATTGGGTAGCAGTGTAAACTTGGCGGTTCGGCATATTTTCTATTTCTCTCGCTCATTATCCTTTCTTTCTTGGCGCGAAAAACTTTTGTCAACGTTATAAACGAGCCCTTCTTATAGGTATTACGCACATTTGACCTCGGAAATCCTGCAAAACCTTCCCTCTTGTGAAATGCAGTTCCAGGGTCACCGCCTAGATGGCGCCAGAATGTCAGTGTGTTCTCTCGTCCTAAGAAATTTTAAGAAGTTTTAACAGATCTCGTCTCTCTCGGTTGTACTCTGTTGCAAGAGTGTGAGCGGGCCTTAATACCTAAACCTGAAAAATGGCTCCCGACAGCTACATCGTGCTGCCGGCTGAAGCAGCATAAAGCTGACTTTATCAAACGCATAGAGAACTTCAAAAATGTGCAAAACGCGTTCCCAAAGCACGTATTTACAAAGCCGAGCGGTGGTCGCACAAAGCGCTTGGTAGCTCTGTAGACATTGATAGTGCAATCAAACGTAAAAGGCTCACAACAAATGGCAAAACTATAAACCACCCATTTTCTTTGCAAACAGACCATAGGTCTTTTCTTAGGAAATGCACCTTTGTTTGAGAAGGCCTAAAAAATGTCTAGTTCCGTGCATGGCCGTCTATCACAATAATACAGTTTCATTAGCCACTTCGACCGTGCACTAGCATTGTGCCAGCAGGCCGTAGGTCCTAGCTGAAAATCGACACAACTCACATAAGAACCAAGCGCATTTCATTCCCCCTCCATTCCGTACAAAAGGCATGCAATTCCATTCTCATTCCAGGGTCGAAAGGCGGAATCGTTCCGACTCCGGAGTGGGAACTCCGCAACACTGCTCTGTTGCTGTTATTGGTTGCAGGATGATGAGAAATTTAGTCAGGGTGTGTTTCAGTAGCTGTTAATGCACGACATACAATGTACTGTACAGGGGGTGCTTGTCGGAACACGTTTCTATAATTTAGTGGAGTGTTTGCATATTCATGCAAGGCTGCTTCCCACGTTTCCACACGAGTGACCGACTGCATTGCAGTAGCTTGCAATTGCTTGCCTACCTGGCTCCAACACAAATGTCCAAGCCATCCTTTAGCAGCTCCTCCCACCAGCCTAGCTTCCCCTCTACCACAGCAATATAGAGCGCAAGTCCGTCTGCTTGTTCAGCAGGGATTTGGCGACATCGGAACACCGAGCTCGGATTGGATGAGATTGGAAGGATAGTAGGTAGACCTCACGGCAGCAAGCATTGAGGTCTACCCACTAACCAGCTTCATCAAAGTCAATCGGAGCTCGGCTTTCCGACACCAGTGCAATACCCACGAAAGCGGCAGACAAACTTGCGCTCTGCATAGGGTGCTGCCATACCGTGCAATCAATTGACCAGTGTTGAATGAATGAATCACCAACATGCGGCATTTTGACCAGCTATGTTTACATGCCTAAACCAAACTTTAAGAGCATGATGTATGCAAGGAAGACATGCAATTCCATTCATGCAGCAGTTTCACTGCATGGGTTGTCCAGTTCTTGTGCTGCAACCCCCTCCCAGGACTGCTTCATACTTCGCTTGGTCATGTCCGCGACTGGAACTAAAGCACAAGACGCTGATCCGGGAAAGTAAAGACATTCCATGGTTACTAGCGAGATGTTGGCCACTGCAAACATCTGCAACTTGGGAACGCTCGTGGCGGCAACGACCGATTAGGGATGCAATATTCTGGTTTGCTTTCGATGAAGAGGAATTTTGGCAGGAGTGGGGGGAGATCAATTACTATTTACAATCTTATCTTAAATTATAAAAACACATGGCATAACTTTGTGTCTAAATACTGCACGATAACAGCATTTTTCAATGACGTCGAAACACTGTGCATACCGCTGTTTCAGCAGAGCTTCATGCGCACGTGGGAAACCGTTCTTGCAGCGCTATTGCAACGAGAATATCTCGGAAAAAAGTTGCCCCATGTGAAGCCAGCCTAAAAGATCTGCAATTTGCTCTGCCCACTTGCACGTTTTTCTCACAAGCAGCAGACGACCCGTGCGAAAACCCGTGCACCGAATTCAAGGGGGAGTCCCAACGAAGGTTCAACAATTTATTACGTATTTTCAGTTTTAGTATAAACATTTTCACACGTGTTCGGGCGATGTGGTCTAAGTAATGAACGTGTGCCTTCCTTCCTTCTGAACTTTGAGGGGGAAGCTGCCCCCAAGATGTCCGGAACAAGAAACTCTGCCCTGATGACACTCTTGGGCAGCCCGACGCCAAGGTTTGGGCAATTGCCTGTTGTTCTCTCCCTTTGGCCACAGTTAAGATAATCTGGAGGGCAGCTCCAGCGGATACAACACTGTAGAACGAGCCGAAAAAAATCGGCACCTGCGCATAGAAAGCTCGACCTTTCACTGGATATGCAATGAACAAGTTAGTTTTACCTTGTGTAATTTCAAGGTGCGGTTTCTCCTGCTGCAACAAATTAGAGCAACCAACTTGCCAAAGACAACATTGCGTGCATTCGCAATCTTCGCAATCAAGTCAGCGACGCCATCTGCTGACAGCGCAGCGAGCAGACGACAGAGTGCGTCGTCTGCTCGCTACGCCCGTCAGTACATGACACCATGAGTTAAAAATTTCGCTTAGGGAGGCTCAAGTATGAGGGTGGGTGCAACTGCTAGATCGGGGATCACGGGACATGGACGCCATTTAATTGCTAAATTTTGCTGGGGGTCTATGGGGCAAGGGGTCGTTTTATTTCCTAACTCGGGTCATAAGAGCCAATTAAGGTGCTTGAATAATTTGCACAAGGTATAAATGATTACGTTTCTATAGCCACCAGTTTTGTTGCGATAGGTTAAGTATTTTTTTAAAGCGAAAAATGGTAAATTTCGCCATCTTGAGCGTTGCTGCTTGTCTGGCAACCCTGCTTTCTCCTCTCGACGTTTGCAATTCTCGGAGCGAGAAGGAAGCGAGAGAGGCTGCGCCAAGGCGTTCGTTGCTTGCAATGAGAGGCGAGAGGAGGAAAGGCGTATGGAGCAACAGAGTTGCAACAGAGCGGGCGCCTGCTCTCGTGCAGGCAACATTGGCGCATATCCTTTCTCGAATCCTCTCCCTCAGGCGCCGCCATTAAATTGCAAACGCTCTCCAGGTTTTGCGTTGCGCCCACCCTCACTTGAGCCTCCCTAATTTCGCTAGCTCGACTGCCTGCAGACCATAGACATCATAGACATCATACATACTAACTCTAAAGGAAAAGGTCCGCCATTTTCCCATGCATTCTGGCTGCCGCAAGCGGCGGAGCATGCAGGCAGACCCTCGGGATCCCAGACATGGTTACCAACTGCCCTTCGATTTCACAAATATAATTATATCATCAGAGCAGTTTTATGAACTTCAACAATCCACGAACTTACCGGTGGAAAAATATTCGCGTTCCTTCCGAAGCTTTTTTCGCATAGCGCGCAGATATGCGGCCTCCCGTCAACACTAATCTAAACCAGATAACCGGCTTCGCCGGTGGCCGCGCCCCGGAAATACGAAATTGCGCAACCACCAGACTTCCGAGATTTCGACAGATGGGAAGCTAATGCAGCGTAATGAGTATGCTGCTTTTTATAAACCTTAGAATAGCTCAAAATTTAATTTACAACGCTAAATTATCACTATTTATATTGCTGAGAGTTTTCAGTCTTCGCGATTGCCATTGCGACTGTCGTCCTTCAGCTGGCAACATTGGTTTCTTTCTCTCGTGTTCTGTCGCTCTCTTTCGCAATCTTTCACTTGGGACCCAGGATGTCGGCGCACGGGATTTGCCACTCCTCCTCACCCACCTTTACCCCTCTGCCTGCAGACGTGCCCGACATTAGCAAGTTTGTTGTTCTCATTTTTTATAGGAATAGAACTGCGCCTTGAAATTACACGAGGTACCGACCCGTTTTCTTATAGAATATCTAGTGAGTGTTTTGAATTTTCCGTGTGCAGGTGCCGATTTTTCCGGCTCGTTTCACGGCGTTCGATCCTCCGGAGTCTCTCCATACTACGTGTTGAACCGTTAAAGCTTGACGCGTCCGAGGTAAGGGTTCCGGTAGGAGCCCAGGTAGAGGTGTCCCTCGTGCTCCAGCACCTCAGAGAGCATGTGAATCTTGGGCTGGGGAGAGTGCAGGCTGCGCACAATACGGCCGCCGACGTCCAACTCCACCACCAGGCCGTACTTCGGGAAGGAGCCATACAATACCCAGCCGTTCTCTAGCTGCAACGGAAAACAATGATGTGGTCATGTCAACGACATGCGCTGCGGCCGAAAGCACATTCGTGAACTATATGCTTTCGGTGAAACTGACATGCTTTCGTCCAAAGTCAACTTCAAGTTAAGAGAAGCAGGACCAGTCGTTTTCACGAAGCTTTTTGCTTGGCACAATTGACGACTTCATCGTCTGCACTCCTCTCTTCAGCGTTCGTCCTGCTAAAGTGGAAAGAGCGGGGAGCTTTGTAGGAGGAGCGTGTCCTGCATTTCTCGACCTGCAACAGGCCGATGCGCTCTGGCCGATGTTCGAGCAAAGTACGTAAATCATGCGCTGAGCTCGGTTATAATCACCAACAAGGCGAGAAAGGCGGATGAGGAGCTTCGGTTGTTCCACCTCCAGTGCACGTTTTCTACCTTTGAGAATGCTTCAACATTTCGTGCACCTCAAGCGCATGCGCACGCAGCCGAAGCATGATGGAAGGCGCGCGGGGTGTGCTGGAGGCCGGCCGTTTGAAAGACACGGCCTGCCACTCTCATTCTGACAGCGACTATAACCCAAGCTCTCAATCTCCGATGTGCATTCAGCCAACTCGAGCAAATCCCCTATAATTCGTACATGAAACTCTGACAACTCGTACCTTCGAACTTTGACGTGTTTTCGGCCGATCCGCGCAATTGACACGAAAAGCCTCCCCGAACTCGTCGGTGAAAACAACGAACGTAAACGTCGCCGGGAGGGCCCCGTTCACCTGAGCGCCGAGGTCCTTGAGGGCGGGGGACGGGTAGAACCGGGCGGCGTAGTTGACCGCCACGCCGAGCAGGTAGACAAAGCGCATAGTGGCCTTCTTGACCAGAGGGTACCGGGCCACCAGGTCGCAGATGTTGGTGCTGTCGTTACCGCGTCCCGTGGCGAAGGCCACCCAGTAGCCGCCGCTCTTGCTGGGCCGGATGTTGTCCGGCTCTCCCGGCAAGTTGTCGGCAAACACCTCCGTCTGGCCCTTCCTGGCTCCGCCCAGGTGGTGCCTGGCGAGCGCGGGTAGAGCAGCGATTGAGAGCAACGCCCGTGGCTTCGGCACTTTTAGCAGAGGGTGTGTTTAAGGGACATGGTCCCCGAGAAAAGTGTAACGCAAGACCACGGAAAGCGCTATGAAATGTGCAACACATACCTACTCCAGAGGACAATCTGTACAGAAAAGTGGGAAATGGAAAGGAAGGAACGGAATTCTAAAGGTTCCCCATATGGAATCGAATCAACGACCACATGATTATGACCTCTACATTCTACCACTGTGCCAATTAGAAGGCAGGCACATAGCCAGCTGGGTTTCTCTTTACCAGGGTGGTCTCTACGAACCGTTTGAACGCAAATGCCGGCATTTGCGTTTAGAACGGTCTGTGGGACGAAGCAAGACATGGAAGACGTGCCCACCATCACTTACAAAAGGACAGTGTTTGAAAGAAAATAAAATGCTATAACCACTAGCACAAATCTCAAGAATGCTGTGGAAACGCATTCTTTGTATACCAACTTGATCCGCAGGCTCAAGATGAATTCTTAACCTGCAACAGGGTTGCAATGCCTGCGCCGCTCGACAAACACCCAATGTTTTTCATAGCATATGCTCACAAGTTATTAGGGCTAAGCATGGGCGTACCAACCGGGGGGGCAAGGGGGGCGTTGGCCGCCCCCCCCCCCCCCCCAGCTCTCAGAGTGGGGGGGCAAGGCATCTGTTTTGCACCCCCCCCCCCCCCCCCCCCTTCCCCTGAAACGGTGGCCACTGGGCAGGGAAAAGACTGGCCGGCGGCGCCCAAGGAATACCAAGGGCACCGCCTCCTGACCCGCGCGGGCATATTTTTAACACGCAGGCGATACAAACACTAGCAACGGCGGTCACGCCGGATTGGCTGGTTCGTGGAGATAGGCGCTGCCGCCGTCAAACTAGGCAACGGATACAATTCGAGTTTCCGAAGTGGTAGCCTAACTTAGTGGTAAGATGCCTGCCTCATACGTATCAGACCCGGGTTCTATCCATGGTGTGGGCTTGCTTCTTTTATTTTTTTCCTCGAACATTTTGCTTTGTCGAGGCATTTGGCGATATTTACGACATTTTTTTTTTTCACGATTAACACTGAAAAAAACGAATGTTCTTGACGAAACATCGCGGAACAAAATCATATGGGACTCTATTTACGGCAGTGCATAGGGTACAGCGGGGATTGGGTTGCCGACTGGACGCCGCGAAGCGGCGTGTAGGGGGGGGGGGGGGGGGGGGGGTGCTAAGTGGGATAATACTTTAGTAATTAGCAGCCACACACTGTCGCCGCGGGGGAGGGTTAACGCGCATCGAATGAGAAACGCGCCGTCCGAATCCAAAATTTAAGTTCCCGCGCGTTGCTGAGCAGCCAATCCGGCGTGAGCGTCGTTGCTAGGGGTCTATCGCCTGCGCCGTAAAAGGAGCCAGTGACCAGATGCGCCCGGTGCGCATACACAATTGGCCCTCTCCTCCCCCCCTCCTTTACAACGCCTACACGCACACACGCTGTAAAAGTTAGTGATGGACCGAATCTGCCGAACTTCAGATACGGCAAAGTTCCGCACATGCCGATATTTTGAAGGAAAGTTCGGCAAAGATTCGGCAAAAATTTGGCAAATGTCTGCACACGCGCACGAACGCGACGGGGCCATGGATCGCAAATGGACGCCGCGCAGTCGCGCGGTTACTATCGCACAGTTTAGTACAACCAGCGGTTACGGCGAGGTGTGGAGCAGGCGGCACGGTAACTGTGCGTTTGTGAGCTTTTGCGAGTGTGGTTCTCTTCAATATTTTCTGCCTCAAGAACAAAAGATCGACCAGTAATTTACGTAGTTCACTTCGCAAGTGACAAATGATGCGGTGCATTCTGGATAATGTGATTTTCATTTGACGTTTCCATTGATGCAACGAGGTAGTTGAAACATTGACTGACAACTGACAATTACGCTCAGTGTGCCCAACCCACTTCTGTCAAACGGGCAGAGTCACGAGAGCTGGCCAGGATGTATGGGAAAGATATTTTCTTTCCTTTTTGAGTACTTTCTGTTGTGTGCATATTCTGTACATATAGATGTCTGTTGTTTCCTCACATGTCGTGGCGGGCTGGCAGCAGACATGTACAAGCTACTCAAACAAGTAATTAAATTAAATTACTGAGTATTAGCCTCAAAAGTAATATGAGTAGAGTAGAAATACTCAAATGGAGAGTAGTTCACTTAATTACTAATTACCGTAAAAAAGTAGCAAATTACTTTTGAAGTTACTTTCATTTTTTTTTTCTATGCTAACAAAGAAGTACTTACATAGGCTTTGATGCGTTAGCGAAATTCTGCTAGCCGAATATAAAGTGGCTTGTGTTTTTCACAGAAATGCTTTAATAGCTGTTCTGCTTCTGCATGCCTAATTGATGCGTACTTCGTTTTGGTCAAGAATGTACTGCGGATGTATCATTTCACATTTGAGGTTTAGCCTTGCCTGAGCTTGATTTTGCTGACAGTGTTTTATTGCTCAGTGTTGCGTAAAGTACGTCTAAAAACTACTTGGAAGTATAAAGTAAATGAGAGGTTATGTATTTCACGTAACACTGTAAGCCATCAAACACTGTGTGCAAAATCAAGCTCAGGCAGTGGCTGAACCTCAAAGGTCATCTCATAAGGCACTTATTTGTATCGGTCTTATAGCCGCCGTTTTTTCACTCAGAGAAATGATCAGATGACGTCTCGAAAGACAGCACAAGCTATACATGAGCATCAGATTAACTTCAGAGAGGGCGGCTGCACTTCGTTACCTCCTTTGAGTGAGGATGCAGTATGTGCACCTCCTGTAGTGAGCGATAGTTTTCTACGTTGGGGAGAAGCGGGGACCAGTCCTTTCTTCAAATGCGTCAAGTCTCCTTGAGCTTCGGGACGCAGAGAAACGCCGGTCTTCGGCGCCAATCCCGGAGTTGCTAGGACTCTGTTGCGTCATGTCTGTTCGCTCCCCGCGCCCTCGTAGCAGTGTTGTTTGCAGTGGGGGGGGTTTATAAAAGTTTGGGGGAGTTCGGACTATCCAAATCGCTTTCTTCCTCCCCCCCCCCCCTTTTTTCTACGCCACCATGCTTCCCCCTCTGCAAATATCAGCTGGTTTTCCAACATCTTACCTCTGTTGATAAGCAAAACAACCACTATTCGAAAGTAATTTGTAATTTTAAGCACAAGTCGGAAAAGTAGTTAAAGTAAACTACTAATTACCAAAGTAGAAATGTAATTGAAAGTTATTAAACTACCCAGAAAAGTAGTTTAAAGTATAGTACATTCCTAACTCTCCCCAACTTCCTAAACGTCCGTGTGTTGCCTAACACCAGAAACCGGAATTTTAAAGCTTAAAAACGGCACGTTGCGAATATGGAACGCACACTTTCATGCAATGCTGACGTCAAGTGACTCAAATCGAAAAACATTCAAATTTACATTATTCTTATTTCTTCTGGTGAAGGTTCAGCAGCCGTTGCATTCGTTTTCGCGCACGAAAGGGTGACTCCCAGAGAAAGTAAGAACGCAGTGATTGCCTTTATTTTAACAATGTAAACACACTTGCAGGCGTGCGCTGATGAAGCCTCAAAATCAAAACTCTCGAAGCGGGATTCGTGACTGCGCCGGCACTAACAAACCTCGTTGTCACGCCACTTTCTGCAAGCAAACACTAAAATTACCAGAAAACAGACAAAAGCGACACCGATACAATTATCTTGTAGAATATCACCTTATTTAGTCATAACTGTGTTAATAGGCACTACATGTTGTATTTACGTTAAGAAAAAAAAAACTTTTTTCGTCAGAAAAACCTAAATATCAATGTTAAGTCTGGTAACAGTGTATTTTTGCCGAATCAATGCGAAATCTTTAGAAAACTTCAGAAAACGTTGCGCCGAATTTTTTATTCGGCAAACTTTCGGTGCATCACTTGTAAAAATAGGCGACCCGGGGGGGGGGGGGGGGGGGGGGGGAAGGGAGGGGTCTGGTTCGCCCCCCCCCCCCCCCCCCCCCTCAAGAACAAGTTGGTACGCCACTGGGGCTAAGGCTTCACTGCCAGCGTTTCCAATCCTCCTACAAAACTAGATGTTAGTCAAGCTTTGCATGGTCCTTCGGTTCGGAGGATTTGCAGTTGATAGGCAACGAACCCCCCAGACGGGAAGGGGCCAAGAACCTACACGGCGCACAAGCCGCCCAAAACCAGTCTTGGGTAAGTTACTTTTAAAAAGTAATTCGTTACAGTTACAGTTACTTTCAGAAAAAAGTAGCGAAGTTACCGTTACAGTTACCACAACAAAAAAGTAACTCGTTACAGTTACAGTTACTTTTAAGAAGTAACGACGTTACTTTTGAGTTACTTTTCTATAACACAAAAATAGGAAAAACTTCAAAAAAAAACACCCCTCACCAAGTTTTATTGCATAAAATAAAAAAAGCACGCTTTTTACTTCATATTGTAACTTAGCAGAAGTTGCTTCTCGAAATTAGTGTTTGAAAATTTCCACGCCAGAGTAATGGCGCAAATCAAAATACAAAACATGCGCAGTGCGGAGTACTGGCGCTAATCAAATTACGGAACATGCGTAGTGCCCTCCTCATGTATTGTTGGTTCAGGGTTGATTCACCCGATTAAAAAGCGTTTTCACCAAACAAAAAGAAGAAAAACCACAACGTAGATAGTGCTTCAATACACTAAGATGTAAGTGTTCAGTCACAAAGTACAAGCGCGTGCGTAAAGATAACTAGATTTTTTTTTTTTTATCAAATCTGCACGTGGCTATATTCGGGTCGTGACTCGTGAGAAAGAACGTATTCTCAAGTTTGTGCAAGGCAAACTTGACACTCGAAATGTCGGAATAGACGATTTGAGAAGTGCAAGGAATTTCTAAATTGTACTCGTTCAGTGATATAATATTCATAAAACATTGGAAAGTAACGACAAAAGTAACGTCGTTACTTTCATCGTTACCTCAGAAAAAAGTAACAGAACTACAGTTACAAGTTACATTTTTAAAAAGTAACTCGTTACAGTTACAAGTTACCAAAAAAGTAACGAAATTACAGTAACGCGTTACTAGTAACGCGTTACTACCCAAGACTGCCCAAAACGCGTCTCTCCGAGCTCGACAGGGGAGGCGTGCAAATGAGAAATGAAGTTCCGCCCCCGCAGGCGGAATTTTTTTACCGTGGGTAGCAAACATATTGGCTGCGAGTTCTAATGCATTGGGTAGTTGTTAGTTGACAAAAACAATGTGCCCCTTGAAGTGGTTTCTTTTTCCTCTCTCAGGGGCAGAGTCCTTGTTTGTAACGAACTGATGGATTCCCGACAGCCGTAGAAAAGGCGAGGCAGCCGCTGCCGCTACGACCAGCAAACGACATCGTGTTTCAGCAATCTATATGCTTCAATTTGAGCTTTGTGTCGTGATACCACCCTACCTCTGTTCGAGGAGCAGACACCTGCTCGCCGTGTAGGCTCATGTCGGACGCGGTGCGTTTTGGGCACTTCATGCCATTATCCAGTTAATGCGCCTCGAACGAGGATACAAGGTGCAGCGATTTAATTCCCAAAATGTCCAGAGCAAACCGCTGGGACTGTGAGCTGGAGAAACATCCTCGAGCAAGTCCAGACATGTACCAACTTGCACTGTCTGAAACGCAAAGAACTAAAACGCATTTCTCTGTGCATAAAAAAGGGAGGCGCAAAAAGGCGGGGGGATCAAACAGAGGGGAAGAGGTCGTACCTGAGCACCCTCCGTGAGCTGAGCTCGCAGACCAGCAGGCTCTGCTTGTCTTGGGAGAGCTGCACTCCGTTGGGGAGCCGGAGGTTCTTCATCAGCACTGTGGTTTTGCGGGTCTTGGTGTCAAACTTCAAAACCCTTTTCATAGAGGAGGAGAGGGAGAGAGAGAAGACAGTTTGGTGAGGGTGTTTCATAATTAAGTCCTTTATTCACTTTTTACTTCTGTCCATTTGAAGAGGTGAGGTAGAGACAAAAGAAATTCGGGTGCTGCGTGACGCGCCTTTTTCGGAGAAAGAAGATTAACGGTAATAGGGGAGTTTTAGCACACTGTTTCAACAGCTCCAATAGCAATCTGCAATAATGCTACGATATGTGCACAAAGGCACCAATATCTGAGCAATCTACTAAACCCCCCTAATGTGCTTATTAACACCTGTTTGAATGTTTGCCATAGTTAGTTTAGGGGATCTCTATAGAGTAAACCTGCATTTAATTTGAAGTTTGGCTTAACCCCTGAAATGAGAAAGACGTTTTTTGTGGATTCCAGATGTTTGTTGGTCGTTATCATGATTTGTGTCCATATATCTGACGGATCCTAGTAGTTCTTCAGTGTGGTATTCGAAAAACTTAGGAAGGCAGACCCTCCAGATTCACACATTGCCTCGCCCCTTTTTTTGTGGGCTGTACATACTTTGCACGCCCGCACCAAGTTTTCTTCCTCTTTTCAGTTGATGATATGTGCTGTGGAAGTGTCCCAATTTAAATACCAGCATACCGTAAACGATTACATTTTGATGAGGGCCTATTTTTCCCGAATTTCGTGATCCCCAAGGATATAGCAAACAATGGACCTTTTCCACATACCGACGGTACCAGGCGGTGGTTGCACGAACTAAAAATCGTGGAAGTGACCTACCTGCGCTACCAATCGATAATGGGAGCTACGCTACCAGTTTCTTCGCTCTCCGAGCTGCGGCACGTGCGCAACGCGACTTCGAAGAGGGGCATCCGTGGCGTCCACCCATGTGTCGCGTTTTTCTTTCCGTCCACCTTTTTTTTTTTTTTTTTGTGTAACACAATTATATATAGGCTGCAATTACGTGTTCTACTCGCTGATCCACAGCCTCCTTCCGAATTTCCTTGATGTTTCGTGCTGACTTCCGCCGCTTGGCATCGGACGCACGCGCGTGTACAGAACGCTTCTCGGAAAAGGTCCATTGATCTCGTGAACATATATCACCCCATGATAAGGGATGCATAACACGGCACTTCAAATCGCGAAATTTATTGCCCGCAAAATATTCCCGAAGTCTCCCCAAAACACTGAATCCGCAGAAATAAAGTAGTTTACAGCATTTCAATAGACCCTTTTCAAAAGACCGCACCATCTAGGAGCTACTGCAGAAAATTAAACGAGTTTGCCATTCCCGGATCACACAACTCCGAGCACATATTGGATGCGAAGGCTGTATCAACGTTCGGAGTGAACTGGGCTCGGGCTGTACAGAGAAAAAGTGCTGCGTCAGCGTTCGGCGAGGACTAGGGTCCAATCACATGGCTTCATGCCCGAGAAATGGTGGCCACCAATGTCGCCCGACTGGGTTTTGAAAAGGGTCTATTGGCTTCACACTCGTACTTCGGTTAAAATTTGTTGGAGGAAAAAGTAATATTATACCGGCTAAGGCCCGTTCACACACCCACATTTTTTATAACATACAGATGGCACCAGTGAATTCGCTCGTCGCAAGAGATCCCAAGTTTCTTAAGGTATTCGGTCTTAAGCAGTTGCAAGTGTGTGAACCAGCTTTTATTAATAATTGCGTCGAGCGTACGTCGAGACAGCCGGAAGTTAAAGTCGGCCTCAATGAGCGTGTTGTGTCTCGGCTATAGACGGGAAATTCAGCCAGTGCAGTACAACCGCTAGCCTGGGGTCTTTAACATGTGCCGCGCAGTAGTGATACACGACCGCACGCCGGTACGATGCTCGTCCAGATCGAAACGGGCAGGGGTGGGGATTGAACCCAGAATTTCCGAGTTCCCGCAGTGCTAGCTTTCGCTCCATGTGCTCCAAGCTGTGACGTGCTAACACACTCTGCCACTCATCTCTCAGTATTTATTTCTGGCTCCATGTTATATACAAGAAAATTAATAAAATTTAACTGATGTCCGATGAAGTCGAGAAAGAGAAAGAGAGAGAAAGAGGGGGGGTCTGCATACCTCCCTGTGTCCTCGTGTTCCATTACGGTGTAGAGGATCTTGTTGAGCTGCCACTTGCCGCTCGCCTCTGTGATGTAGAGGGCGCCCTTGTCGTCTATGTCCAGGTCGTCCAGAAAGAGAATGCGTTTGCCCTCGACCTCCGTGCCAGCCGGCAACAGGTGCTGGGCCGCCCCTGCGGAGGATGGCTCCACTTCACTGTGAGGTCCGTGCATACCCTCTCCCTCCGACAAATCCCCCCCACCATATTTTCCACATTTTCGACCGACCTTGTAAATTATGTGCAATTTCATCGTTCACTAGCTGTCTCATATATTGCAAATCCGTCGACCATTCTCGTAAATTATGTGCAATTTTGTCGTCCAGCGCGCCTTATTTAATATCTCCATTACAACCATTGGCTATAGAAAAGTGGAGTATGCTATCCGACCACATTTTTTCTATAAATCACAATGATATATTTGCAGCAGGACCCTCTTCTTCTCTAAGCCCTCTACACAGATTCTAGTGTTTGAAAAATATACGTGCACTTTCTTGTATCAGGGGGCATTTTTAATATCTTAAGCAACCTCCAAAGAGCAAGTAATCGAAAATATGCAGATGAATTAGTTGTTACTAATTGACCGGAGTATAAGTTACGAGGCCGACAAGAAAAGCCCAAATTTTCGATGGCATCGAGATTCAAACTTTGGGTTTCCGAATTGCCAGTCGGTCGGGCATGCAAACCACTGCATTCACCACCTTGTCTTCTGAGCAATCAGGAGACCCAGAGTTCGAATCCCGGCGCCGCCAAAGATTTTGTTTTTCGGTGCGGCTTCGCAACAATTATTTCGTATCGGTACGGTTCATTTATCCGCACATTTTCTACCTCGCACCTCGAAGAACATTCACCCGGGTCCTTGAGGAAAAATAAACGATGACGATCACTAATGACAAGTTTCAAATGTGGCACAAAAATTGACTGCTAAACAGAATCACTTTTTAACCATTTTAGAGTTCGAGCTTTTCCCTTTTGCCGCTCGAAAAAGGAAACGGGGTTAACGTGCATACCGGTGTTGACGTTGACTGCATAGAGACCGTAGTAGGCGTCGACGACATACAATATTCCCTCTTTGTCGAAGCGCATGCCCAGGGGTCGACCACAGACCTCCTCTTCCCAGAGTCCCTCTGAAACCAAAGGCAGCACCGTTCTATCAATTTGCGATTCTTTTATCAGTTATTCTAGCTTACCGCATTTTATGGTGTGTAGGTCACGGTTCTTTTCCAAAATTTCAGCCGGTGCACCTCATAACAATGGTGCGGAAATTTGCCAAAGGGGTTATATTTCTCGCTCGTTGACGATAATATCGTAACTTGCCCTCGTTTGCGCGTTTACTGCGATCAAAACACAGATATGCGAGCTTTTCAATGCAGTTATGCTGTGCAAACCATAGAAGTACTATATAGGTGTAACTTATATACCCACTTGTTTAATTTTAAACGACTGTTTTAATGGGGGTGTGATTTACAAACCGGAAAATACAGTACTACCGTAAAACGCCGGAGAAGTGCCCACCCCGCTTCTACTGAAAACTGTATCGATCTAGACATGGACGCTTGTCTGGTTCAATCGGGCGCTTAGCACATAATTTGCGGAATTCCCAGTTTTGGTAAATATTAATAGTGGGCGCTTCCACGGTATTTTATGGTATAAAGGATGAATCGCACAAATATTACAGTTAGCGAAAACATCACGGCATGCGAAAATACGTGCCAATATTAACCGGCTTAAGAGTTTGCTGGAACTGAATTGCACGACATGTGCAAAACAGGGGTTACAGAAACCAGTGGCGTATGCAAAGGGAGGTTTTAGTCCCCCCTCCAAATCGGCTACACCACTGGTGGAGACAAGAGCAGTGATCCCTTCCAATAAAAAGACGAGCGGCATTAGGTATACTCGTTTGTTCCAATGTATGTAGCACATACCCTATATTTTGCCAACCCCAGCGTGTCACACATTGGGGTATAATGAACATTGGTGGCATGCAATCTGCACCACGCTCGACCGAGAGTTGAGGGAGGAACGCTGCCCGTTTTTCTCCAATTTTTCCCCGCAATTGTCATCGTGTGGAGAGAAAAAGAAATGCCTGTTTTGTGGGCTATATAAATGTTGAGGATTAGTTCTGAGCGTTTTTACTGAAAAGTACAAAACTCGTTGCAGCAGCATTTTAATAATATATCTCAAGAGGACTGTTTAAAAGACACTACAATTTATGCTGTACTGCTGCTATGCACCAGATACTATGGGAAGAGTAAATACATGAAATAATTAGCAGTTTAAATAATTGTAGGCATTCAACTGTACAGCAAAGAAAGAAAAGATATTCATGCACTTTTTTTTATCTAAGCAATTCTACCAAGCTGCACTTGTTTATAACTAGGGTTCTGCGTTTTCGGTTTTTATTTTTTCAAAATTCGGCGTACTTTTTTCGGTGTTTATTTTAAAATTTAATTTTCGGTTTTTTTCGGTGTATACTTATTCCCCAAAACTTTTACCAGTCTTTTTCGGTGAAATGAAAGGAACACCATCGGACACCGAATCAGATGATCCTTGTAGCTGTGATATTTGTGATCACTCAAAAAATAACGGCACATATATATACGTGGTCTTCGCTACAACTTCCATCAGGACACACCTCAGAATCGTAGAATTCGCGGACGTAATATTCAGCGCGCTCCTTTTCCTTCCCATTCTGACGACATGACCGTCTGAGGTGATGACCGTACAAAAACCAACGGAATGGCAAAAAAAAAAATTATTGTATTTATGTTTTTAATTACAGGGAACTTAGAGAGGGTGTTAAGAAAGGCTTTTTCCTCGATGTCCTCTGAAGTGCATGAAGCTAGAAACCTTACAACAGCCCACATCCGAACTTTTTTTAGGACGAACTTGACCCACAAAGCCTGACCACAGAAAGGACACAGATGTCCCGCGAAGGCCGATTCAAGACCTCTTTTGTTGCATGTTGAACCTTGGAAGAGGGCAATCGCGAAGACGTCACACAGTGTCGAACCTCACACAGTGTCGAGCCCCCTCTCTCTATACCCCTCCCCCACCCACCTCGACGCGGCCGTAAAAACTGACCTTTTTTGGTTAAAACCGAATTTTAGAAAACGAATTAAACGTACTGTTATCGGTTTTTATCGATTTAAACCAAAAACGCTGAACCTACAAACTGACCTTTTTCGGTTAAAACCGAATTTCCGAAAATGGATTCGGAGTACTTTGATCGGTTTTTATCGGTTTAAACCGAAAACTCCGAACCCTATTTATAACTGCTAAATGCTATGTTCTGTACCCATTTAAAGGGGCCCTGCAAGGACTTTTTACTGGTTTTTAATTTGCACCGAACCTGAACACACTGAACGTAGTAACTTCATAAAACTTTTCTTTTCTAGAATTTCGCTTTATTTTAAAAGTTATAGGCAAATAAAAATTACAAAAACAAGCAAAAATAACCTCCTTCATGACGTCCTTGGCTGCTTGGGTGGCCGTGAACCAGCGGAGGGGTAGTGAGCTCAGCGAGCGCTCACGGCTGCCGCACTCCGTGTCGACGGCTCGAGAGGGTGCCACTAAAGCATGTGCTGGCTAGGCTGTATAAAGCGGGCAGCCAGGGCGGCTCGCATTGCATTTGCTGCGCGAATAAACACTAGTTCAGCATAACTAGGGTACAGAGTTTTCGGTTTAAACCGATAAAAACCGATAAAAGTACGCCGAATTTTTTTTGTGGAAATTCGGTTTTAACCGAAAAAGGTTAGTTTGTAGGTTCAGCGTTTTAGGTTTAAACCAATAAAAGTACGTCTAATCCGTTTTCTAAAATTCGGTTATAACCAAAAAAGGTTAGTCTCTTAGGGCCGCGTCGAGGTGGGTGTGGGAGGGGGGAGGGGAGAGAGGGCTTTGCAAGGTTCGACATTGTGTGACGTCTTCGTAATTGCCCTCTTCCAAGGTTCAACATGCAACAAAAGAGGTCTTGGATTGGCTTTCGCGGGACATCTGTGTCCTTTCTGTGATCGGGCTTAGTTTGTCAGGTCCCTGTTCTTAAAAAACGTTCGGGTGTCGTGCACTTCAGAAGACACCGAGGAAAGCCGTTGATACCTTCTTATCACCATCTCTCAAACTTTCCTGTGGTTAAAAACATAAATACAATAGATTTTGTTTTGCCGTTTCACTGGTTTCTGTACGGTCATCACCTCAGACGGTCACGCCGTCAGAATGGGAAGGAAAAAGAAGCGTGCTGAAGATTATGCCCGCGAATTCCGCGATTTTGAGGTGTCCTGACAGAAGTTGTAGCGAAGACCACGCTTATATATGTGCCGTTATTCTTTGAGTGATCATCTGATCCCGTGTCCGATGGTGTTTCTTTCATGTTCACCGAAAAAAACCGGTAAATTTTTTTGAGAATGAATATACACCGAAAAAAACCGAAAATCGAATTTTAAAATAAACACCGAAAAAAGTACGCCGAATTTTGAAAAAATAAAAACCGAAAACGCGGAACTCTAAGCATAACACTTCATTGGCCACAAACATACAGCAAACACGGGGTAAAGATCAGTTCAGAACGGGAGCCACTTCGCAAACCGCAAGCCAAAGCTGCTCGCCGAAGGCCTTGGGAACGCTCGGAGCCGGTCGGATCCTCCAGTTCATACGACCGCAGCGCCGCCGCGTACATCCGGGACCTTTCTACGCTCGCCAGTCGTTGGTGCCTGATCCCACTACACCTTTCTAGTATGGGCCGCCTTTTCCACCACTTGGTGGCGGGCATGTCGACGGGTCATTTCTTGTTTCCGTATTTTCTAAACTGCATTTGTTTCTTTTCTGATCTAAAATAGTGAACAAAAACTACTTTTATGAATAATTGAAATGGTTCGCCCCACTTATATTTTGTATTTCTATACTAAAAAAACCTTTTAGCGGCTCTGACCAGTAGTAAGCCCAGGACCAAAGACGTCACATATCGCGCGCTTTCGGCACCGCGGGTCTCCCCCTAGGTGCAGGAGGTTTCCGCGTCGTCCGGTTAAAATATGACGCACTGATATTTAGTTACTTCCTCCGTGCCCGCTGGCTTGCCTGAACCCCGAGGGACGCGGAAACTGCAAAAAAGGTAGACGCTTAAATATGATTGCAGGGCCCCTTTAAGTGATGTTCCATAAAGCACGAAAAGATGCTCATTAAGCTGTTGTAATTCAATGTAAATTGCATCCAGGTTAGTTAGTTTTTTATTTATGCCTTTTCCTGGCTTTTGGTATATATTTTATGTGAGGTTGTGCTGTAAACTGAGCAACACTCGTAGGACAAACACACCATTGGTGCTTTGTCAGATTTTACATGAAATTTTACAGCTTGCATTAATGCCCCTATTGAGCACTTTCCGCCACACCACCGTAATATCCTGAAAGACAGCCTACTCAATAGCGAGAGCAAATGGGTGGAAATGAAGAGTGGGCTAACGTTCAGTGTGCGATAGGGAAAAATTTAGAAAATGGCATTCTTGTGCGGCCGCTGCCGAACTTGTTTTCACACTGAGGGGCAATGAAGCATAGACAACTGTCCAGTCAGCAATGTTTGGTCATCTCTCGCCGCTAAACCCCATTTCGGCCGAGGTCACCATGCGTCGGCCAGAGCTCTGCAACCACTGGAAGCGGGCTATCTTTCGGTGTTCTTAAAAAGAATACTGGGAATCGTGTCAAAATTGAGGTGGGCTATCTTTTGGGGGTGGGGCATCGTTCGGTATATTACAGTAGTGGTTTGGATGACAACCTTCCAATTCCAATTAAAAAAAAAAAAAAGATTATTTGTTTGCTCTAACAGTGTCGGGCAGTGTACAATATGATAATCTCAAACATAGTGACATGTCCATTACTGCAATATACAGAGTGTAACCCCCACGAGGGTTACGTATTTTATTTTATTTAAAAATAAAATAAAATTGCAGTACTTTTTTGCAGCAAAAATGAACCTCTATGCATCAATCTCCATACAAATGCAGTGCTAGCCGTCCGGATACCAGACGCCAAAATAACCGTTATCTTATTAAAATATAAAACTGCGATTTTTTTTAAAACTTGTGGCAAAATGGGGCCCGCTCCCGGAACTTGACACCAGCAATATTTCCAATGAATTCGTTGGCCATCGTTTACTCAGACAATTTGCGAAAATTGCTTGCAACTTTTGAACGAAAAAATGGCTATTGTTAAACAACAATTAATTAAAAAAAAAAACTTTTTTTTTTAACGGAGCGGCTTTGACACGTAGCTTGAAGCGCGAGGAAAAAGGGCTCACCGCATTTCTTCCCGAGTTTAGCAACAAGCGTGACCTTGTCACCGGTTATCTTGTAGATCTCTCCGCCCTCCGTCCCCGTGTAAATGCTCCCTGAAATATGATCGCCCAAAACAAAAACATGTGATCCATCACGGATATATATATATCCACTTCACAACACCATAAGTTGCGAAGAGAAGATAAAAACACGCTACAGGTGGTTTTACATCTTACCTTTGTACACCGCTAGCGATTCCGGACCGCGAAGTTTGTTTTTGAAGAGAAACTCCGCTGCATCCAATTTGTTGTTCGGTGCTAGCGGACCCACAAACCCGGGTAAACTGGCCCTGAAATGTTGTCGTTATCGTGAGTTAGGTTATCGTGCCATTTTAGCAGCACAGATATTTCGCTACAGAGAGCGACTCGCTTCTCCTAGGTACGGAAGTTTAACTCCCTTTTTGACTAGTTTCCTTTCCTCGCTTTTAAACTCAAAGTGCACTAATCGTTCAGCTATACCCCGGCCGAGTTTTCGCAAAAATATTAAGCAAAGCGTATCTCTGGAATTACCTAGCGAGAAGCACAAAACGAAAGGAAGCTTGTTGTAGTTACTAAAACGCTCTCATTAAAAAAAAAATATATATACATATATATATATATATTTGCTCGTTACACACGTGCCGGTTAACTCACGTGTTTGCTTGGGGTTCGAAGTCCAGCGACATCGGAATGAACGGCAAGACGAGCAGAAAAAGTGCCAACAAGGTGGCAAGTTTAAAAAGCCCCATGAAAACTCGCACGACCATGACTGCTTCGTTCAAGTGGCTTCAGCTTCGAAAAAAAGTCCCGCCGCTGTAAAGAAAGCTCCGAGTTAGGGTCATGCGCAGCCGCGACCTTTAGCTAATCCGGTTGATTGAAAAAGTAAAACGGCAACACCGAGGTAGCAGCCGGTTTCTGATGAAGGTATCCGAGTGAAACGACGGATCTGCCCGATGTGCCGCCGACTTCGCCGCTTCGCCAGCTTCGCCGCTTGACCTCCCACCCAGGCTCGCTGGAGTGCCGATGGCGCTATCTATGGCCCTGGTGCTATCGATATGTGCATCACGCCCCGCCGCGCGTGCACAAAGTCCGCTTGCAGACGACATATTTTTTTTTTTTCTTTTTCTTAGTTGGGGCTTTTATAACTACAAACCGCGCTCGCAAACAAAAATATCTTCCACGTAACGTAATTGACTTTACGAGCGGAGATATATGCAGCTCGACAGTGAAAATGCCAAATCGGCAGATCATTAGAAAGGAAGGCCCGACCGGTTAGGAGAGGATACGATCTTCACGAGGAAACGTAAGAGGGACGGTTGTCCTCGAGTGACGTTTGCGATACCGAGGATAAAACGGCACAGCGAAGCGCTAGACAGACTGCTGTCGCTCGCACGCGCTGCCGTGTCTGTCTTTTATCAGTCTTAACGCGGCGAAAAATACGGGGCGTTATCCGATCGAGACACCGGGCTTATCAGACAAGAATCCCTCTGCAAGAGTCGTTTTTTTTTTCTCTATCGGTTTTGGTTCAACAAATGAAAAATGCAATAACTACATATTTTTTTCGGATTTCCAATTCGCGAAAAAATATATTTAAAGGCGGCATCCAGATGCACATGTAAGTTGCACAAGCGGTTAGCCGACTGTAATATCAAGAAATAATAAAAAATGAAATAATAAATCAAACCATGCGTTAAACATTGTCCAATCTCAGAGTGAGTATTGTTACTTGTAACACCGCAATTGTTCTAGAGGAAAAAAAGTAAAATTAAATGATTGCTCGCGTAGGTGTGCCGACTTTAAAGACATTTTATAAGAATGCGAGCAACACTTCAGTACTGCAGATGAATTGGCTCCGATAGATGTCGAGTTCGATGATTGTGTATTTGACTGAACTCTCATCAGTTTTTTGTCCACCATACAACAAAGAAAATGATTTGTCGTCCTTCAAAAATGTTTCAAAACGCGAGTCTAGAGAGAAGCAAAGTGAATATTTAAAATTCAATTTAAGAAATAGACATAAAAAAAGAGACTGAGGTACATGCAGCATCCCAGTGGTGTCGGAACAGGGGGGGGGGGGTGGGGGGAGGGGCAGGGGGGGTGACTGGCCCCCAGACAGTTTAGAAAATTAATGGAACCAACACGGGGGAGGGGAATCAAAATTGCCGTCGCCTCCCCTCCCCCCCCCCCCCCCCCCCCCCCCCCCCCCCACCACAACCACCGTCGCACCCCTATCCTGAATAGATCCGATCGTACGCCTCTGTAGCATCGACACATTTCCTCAATTAGTCTGCACACAGTGCAGTTAACCCATCAAGTCTTTCACATCACCAGCACACTGAGAGAGAAAAAGTTTTTAAAAACCTTCACAGATGCAACTGATACATAATGTCAGAACTGTGTTTCTCATAGTCATTTCTTCCGGAATGCCCCACACAATTTTAAAACCAAATAGGTTTAAAAATACTTCACGGGAGCACAAAAATCTCAGGGAAACTTGCACACGATGTCAGAACTGTGCCCCCTAGTCATTTTTTCTGGAATGCTCCACGCAATTTTAAAACCTTAAAAATTAGGTTAAAGGAAATTCACGGGCGCACGAAAATCTTAAAGAAATTTCTATACCATAGGCCCCTTCGATTTACTTGCACCTCCTTCGCCGGTGCAGAAAAGTGTAGGGCGGTGTATATCCGGTCGTATGTGAATACACATACCGGAAGTACACTGCCCTACGCTTTTCTGCAGCGGTGCAGGAGGTGCAAGATAGAACTAGCCAAATGTCAGAACTGTGCCCCCTAGTCATTTCTTCTGGAATGCTCCACACAACTTTAAATCACTAGAAACAGGTCGAGAAAATCTATTCAGAAACACACTTGGCAATAAGTTTAGTTGGCAACTGCACTTAACGAGATGTAATTTCCCATATATACTATATGTCTATGCAAAAACCCCTATAACACCCACAAACTGTACATCAACAGCTAAGGTAATAAAATGCCACAGAAAACTTAAAACAAATCAGAAAACAAACAAAAATAGACACGCTGAAACCTCTTCACTTTGTATACTTGCAATGTGAACGTTGACTGTTGCAACTCAGAGCGGCACTCATCGTGGGACACTAGCTACGTCGGTGATAAGTGTCGTTGTAGTGCTTGACCAGGTTCCACTGTATTAAAATGTTGTTATACTGCGCACTACCAAAATGATCTCTTTGGAGCGAGTTTGGTCAACGCTAAGCATGTACAGCCACACCTCCGAGTGATATGCAACATTTTCAATTCACTGTCACGTGGGAATGCGGAAGGGTGCAGCAGTTGGCCAAGGTTTCCACCCCGTCCGCTCCTACAAGGGTGACTCGGCACTTTGCAAGTACCAGCACGTTTCGTCGACATAAAAAGCTGCCCAATTTCATAGAGCAAGCAGCGCCCTCTAGTCAGTTCTCAAATATTTATAGAGCCCTCCAGCACACCAGCAACATGCAGTTGCTAGTTCAGCTTTACATTTCAGAGACTGCGAGCAAATTGACATTTCCTCGTGCGACAAATCCGGCCTTTGCGAGCGAGCAGCCAACGAGGAGACAGTGGCAACGGGTAGTAGTCAATGGTATAAATGTGTCAAAAAGTCAAATTTGTCGTTATTTGTTTTTACAGCAGGAGGTTAGTCTGCCAGAACATGGCGACATTGTTACCCACTGCAGATAAGCAATTTAGCCAGTGCGGTACAACCGCCACCTGGGGCCTTTAACGTGCATCACGCAGTAGTGATGCATGCTGAGCATGTTAGGGAGAACTTAGAAAGGAAAAGAAGGAACAGGGTAAATTGAGCGAGGTGAGTGCCAACGTATGATCGAACGGTCGATTAAAGTCCACTTTTTGTCACGGTGTAGCTTTTCACTCTCGTCGTCTGTTTTTGTGCACAAAGACGAACGCCCCCGCGGTCACCGGCAGAATGAAAATGATGGGTATTGGCTGCGGATTGGGATTGGCTCTAGATTGGCTGCGTATGTGCTCAAGGTGCGCGAGACGTTAAAGGGATACTTCAACGAAATTTGGTATATACCCGTCGTGCTCAAAAATAGGTTGAATATGATCCACAATATCCGTAAATGACAATCGCACGTTTGTATTTTGAGCCTGGTGGCTGTATTTTTCGTTATAAACGGTCCACTCTGGCAAGCGCTCGGAGAACAGCCAGCGGAGAGCATGTGGCATCCAACGCAATCGTGACGTAGTTCGTCTCGGGACGAGCAAAGCTACGGCGAGGCTGACGTCGAGAGGATGGCCTAGTCGTTCCAGCCACCGAAGCGGCTGCTTTTGTATGAATTTTGAGTGACGGGTTAATTTTGTATAACCTTGTAGGCTGACAATATCGACTTCTGGGACACACAAAAGGGATTCTCGAGAAGAGGGGAGTTCCTCCTTCCCCTCTTCTCGCGTCATGGCCGGAGGCGAGACAGTTACCGTCACTGGTTGACAAGGTTCCTAGACGGGCATTACAAACGAGGGGTTAGCGACATCCACGAGGCGCTTTTCGCTAATCCTTTAATTCGTTTTAAAATTCCATATCGTGACTTTTTTAACAAGATATTGGTGTGTTCAATGTGATACTGCTCCTTTGAACACATGTAGACCAAAAAATGAGCGCAGAAATTTCGTTGTAGTATCTAAGGCAGGACGCTCGCGCTGGAGGCGGGACAACCGAAGCCCCTCCCTGCCATTCTCACCATGTCGGCGACCCTGGACGTTGGCCTGACTATACTTCGTTCCACCTTCAGTCCGAGCGCAGTGGACGTCACGAGCTGTCCCAGCCGATCCAGCGCCGGGAGAAAATCGCGTGACCTGCCGGTTGGGCAGAGCGGCACAGGGGGCTCAAGGTCACACGACACCCTCTCAACTCTGGATTAGCTGGGATGGCTCCTAGCGTCCGCTGCGCTCGGACCGAAGGTGAAACGGAGTACAGTATAGTAAGAAAGCTCTACGAGACTACACTAGATTCTGAACTTGTTAGGCAGCGCGTGCCGTCTTCGCCTACGCTAAATCGCTACGACGTACCAAAAGTGGAAATTCGTGAATGATTTTCTCCGGAAATACTAAAAAAACTAGAATCATCCCCCCCCCCCCCCCCCCCCCCCCCCCCCTTGGAGGTAGGAAGCTTCCGGAGGCGATGTGACGCCACCAGAGGTGAAGCCAGAAGTGGGGAGGTACACGCCCCCAACGATGATCAAAACCAAAAGATGCTATTGGACGAAAAGGAGCGCTGACTCAACAGCTGTTTTGGTCACCCCTGGGGCCCCCTCTCCACACCTCTGTCTTTACCTCTGGTGGCGTAATGTTGCTTCCAGAAGCTTCCTAGCTCGATGCTCCCCAACCACTGCAGACGGGACAAGATCGAAATTAGCCGCTAGGTCACTTCGAAGAAACTGAGATACGCGATGACGAAACAGACGCACAAGCGCCTCTGTCTTGGAAAGCAGCACGAAAGTGGCGAGGGCTCGAGGACGACGACCGGTGGGTGTAAAAGCCCGTTCACACTCTTGCGAGCGCCGTTCACACTCTTGCGACCGAGTAAAGGCCTGTTCACACACTTGCGACCGACTTCGACCGAGAGAGACCAGACCGGTTTGTAAGCCTTTTGCGACTTCTTAGGACCGGATGCGATGCAGCGGAGCTGGTCCTAAGAGATCGCAAGAGGCTTAAAAACCGGTCCGGTCTCACTCGGTCACAAGAGTGTGAACGGGTCTTAAGACCGAGAGACCAGACCGGTTTTTAAGCCTCTCACGATGTCTTAGGCAGGGTGTCGAACTGAAATCTTTATCGGTTCGGTTCCGGTTAGGGTTCAGGGTTTTCGGTTCGGCTCCGGTTCAGTTCCGGGGAGCAAAAAATAACGGTTCGAAGCGGTTTGAACCGCAAAATCGAGACTATATTTTCTGCGTTTTTTTGGCGACAGGCACTATTTCAACAGTAAAACGAATATCTATATAGCTTTTTATCATTCGTAGAACGATGAAATTGCCTTATTTAATTTAAACGAAACAGTAAAAAACTCCTAGATTAACATATATGACTCAACATC